GTTATCTTCCTCAATTCTTAGTCTTACAATCAATTCATCCATGGTCATCTCCTTGCGTTTATGTTTTAAATAATCTTTGAAATCTGTCCAAGCCGGTGGTAATTTTTTCACTAACGCAGCGACTTGGAAAGACTCGCTCAGAGACATACCCTCAGCATGAATATCATGCAAAATTAATTGAAAATTTTGAACTTGAGAAATTACTGTTTGGGAGTCTACCATAACGAAGTCCAGAAATTTACTGACAACAAATTTCTTTGTGCCAACATCCTCTATCTTGTAGTTTTTCTCCAAAGAATCCCACAATTCTTTTGTTGTTTTTAGAGGGTTGTAAACATTATACAGCATGTTGTCAAGGCCATTAAGGATGTAGTTTCTGCACAAAAAATCAGAATGTTTCCAAGCATCTATAACGGTAACAACTTGCCAATCACTTTCATCCTCTCTAAATACTGGAACCTCTTCACGGAGAAATCAGGCAAGATTCAGAGTTAAAAGATAAAACAGCATTTTCTACTGTCATCTCTTGAACTCGGTGCCATTAAATTTTTCTAATTTTTCTCCATGATTTATAGGAACTTGAACATGATGCTGGATAGGGGCTAGAGTCGTTGTAACAATCGGATTTGGAGTACTACTTTCAGCAACCATAATATCTAATTAAAAAAATCAGAAAAAACCAAAACCAAATTAATTTTCTAGTTACTAAAACCAGAAAATAAATTATAACACAAAATAATTTTACTTTTCTTGAGTTACTAAAACCAGAAAATAAATTATAACACAAAATAATTTTACTTTTCTTGTTATTAAAACTAGAAAAATAAAATACCACAATAATTTTCTATATCACAAATTAATATTTTGAAATTATTAATGACAGCAGTATATTACTACTAATTGTCAAAGAAAATAAACAGTATATTACTACTATTTGTCAAACAGTATATGATTACTATTTGTATTTTCCAACCAGAATATCATTTTGTAAAAAGCACAGAAAATAAATACAATGAAGACACCAGAAAAAAAAAATATTTTGTCTTAAGATTGTTGGACAATCTTCGTTGTATTAAAAATAAATAATGTTTGTGTACTTAACAACAAACAGAAGAAATAAAGAAATGAGAGAGATTGTTTGATTACAAAAATCAAACCAGTAAAGAAAATAAAATAAAACAATTGATTCTTATTTTGTTACAAAAACAAAATCAAAATCTGATAAAAATAAATAAATAAAATAGAAAGTAAATTAATTACTAACCTTATGTATTTATTGAACAAAATTCTGATCAAGTCCAGTGTTTAACACTGTATCCTTAAGACAGATTCGTCCTCTCCACGATACTTTCAAATTACGGACGTCTATCTCCCAGGATAAAATGATCAACAGCGAATAATAGCAGCACTACAAATTATTCACACAACGAACACACTTAGTTTTCTCACAGGAAAAATTATGCAGCAAAATGCTAAGAGCAATAACATAATTTAGTACGAAAATATTGACTAAAAAACCAAATGAAGGACTAGTCTATTTATAAGTGTAACAACCCTCACTTTCCCTTAGTCATGCTCACATGCATTTATATGATTTTGTCTTGTTAATTTGCATTCGTGAAATCCTGTTTTGTTTTATCTAAGTGTTGTTGCATGCTTTGTTCCTTGTTTGGTGTGTGTTTAGCCGAGGCCATGATAAGCCTAGGTCACACCTTTGAACCTCTTACACCTAGGACCATCCTAAATCTTTGATCCCTGCACCTGGTGATCTTGTTCCTGGACTGGTATGACCTAGACCGAGGTGTGGCACATCTAGGCCGAGGTGTGGCATAGTTAGGCCAAGTGTTATCCTTCCTAGCCAAGATCATTGAGACCTTACTTGCCGAAGCCTATGTCTTAATCCAAGGTCATTACCTGTCGGAGTGCCCATGTCACCTTACTTGTTATATACACTTTGTCTTACACATGTCTTGTCTTTCAATCACCTTTTTGAGGAAACCCAATCCGGAGGTGCCACGTGTCCCAGCAGAGGGTTAAGTCTGCTGGCAGTAGAGAAAACGTATCATTTTGTCATATCTTTTGCATGGTAGAGAGAGAAGCTCTAGGAAGAGAGGAAGAAGAGTTCTTGAGAGAGAAGTAGATTTATAAGCTTGATCCTTAGAGTCTAAACCGTTTGATCCGAGTGTTGAGGTTAGATTATTGATTCACTCTTGTTAATCTTTATGTTTATTCGATCGCATTGCATGATCTAGCATGATTCATGAGCCATGCATTGGTTTAAAGTTGTTTTAGAAAGAGAAAATAGAAGTTGTTTTAGAAAGAGAAAATAAGCGACTTGGAAAGACTCGCTCAGAGACATACCCTCAGCA